ACCTCCTGTTCAGGGACTTGCTTCCCTCGGTGCCACGGTACACCCCACATGACCCTGTTGTTGCGTATCGTGGAGAGAAACCACACCAGCTTGGAATGGTGAAAGGGCTTAGGGACCAGCACCTGTTTTTGTAGCTGCCTGGAGCTTTCCTGGGACGAGACTGGTGGGGAGGCTCTCAATTCCTACAAAGTCAGGAGACTCCTTGATCTCCTTGGTGGCTCTTTTTCTTTTTTATTTCATTTCATTTTATTTATTATTTTAGGGATGGGGTCTCGCTATGTTGCCGAGGCTGGTCTTGAACCCCTGGCTTCAGGTGATCTTCCTGCCTCAGCCTCCCAAAGTCCTGGGATTACAGGCATGAGCCACCCTACCTGGCCTCTGTGGTGGCTTTTTTTTTTTTTTTTTTTCTGAGATGGAGTCTCACTCTGTCGCCCAGGCTGCAGTGCAGTGGTGCAATCTCGGCTCACTGCAACCTCTATCTCCCAGGTTCAAGCAATTCTCCTCCCTCAGCCTCCCAAGTAGCTGGGATTACAGATGCCAGTCACCACGCCTGTATTTTTAGTAGAGACGGGGTTTTGCCATGTTGATTAGGCTGGGCTTGAACTCCTGGCCTCAAGTGATATGCCTCCCTCCGCCTCCCAAAGTGCTGGGATTACGGGTTGAACCACGGTGTCTGGCCGTCTCGGTCTTTTATTTAATTTTTTTATTTTTATTTATTTATTTTTTTTTTGAGGCGGAGTCTTGCTCTGTCGCCCAGGCTGGAGTGCAGTGGCCGGATCTCAGCTCACTGCAAGCTCCGCCTCCTGGGTTTACGCCATTCTCCTGCCTCAGCCTCCCGAGTAGCTGGGACTACAGGCGCTCGCCACCGCGCCCGGCTAGTTTTTTGTATTTTTTAGTAGAGACGGGGTTTCACTGTGCTAGCCAGGATGGTCTCGATCTCCTGACCTTGTGATCCACCCGTCTCGGCCTCCCAAAGTGCTGGGATTACAGGCGTGAGCCACCGCGCCCGGCCCGTCTCGGTCTTTTCTTGGCTTTCTGCCCTGTGTTTCCTTGTCTCTGTGACCTTTCTCTTACAAGGACATCAGGCATTGGATTTAGAGCCCACTCGAAATCCAGGATGATGTCCTTCTGAGATACTGAACTTAATTACCTCTGCAAAGAGCCTTTTTCCAAATATGGTCACATTCACAGGTACCAAGGGATAGGATGAAGACACAGGTTTTTGGGGGAGGAGAGGGACAGTTTGGCCCAGGACATGCTGCCTGGGTGGTCGCCCCCTTCCAGAAGATCATCCCCCACGTTTCCCACGATGCTTTCTGCAGTGGCCCTGACCTCCTGTTCAGGGACTTGCTTCCCTCGGTGCCACGGTACACCCCACATGACCCTGTTGTTGCGTATCGTGGAGAGAAACCACACCAGCTTGGAGCTGGACACCCTGCCCTGTGTATGTGACTTAAGCCTCAGTGTCCCTGTGAGGGCCTTCTCTTGTTCCTTGGAGTTGATGGAGGTGTTTGCTTCCTGAGGGACAGTTTTCCCCAGGTCAGGGGGTCCTCATGCAGTGGTGGGTGGCCGTGCCTGGGCGCGAGATACCCCACTTTCCTCACTGTCTTGGCCTAAGCCCTTTACTCATTTTTCTAAGGATGGAAAAAAAGTAAAGCCTCTGAGTTGTGCATGGGTGAGAGGTGGCATCTGGGACCCTCCCCACGCCCACAGGAAGAAGATGGTGAGAAATAGCTATCCAGGCTCATAGTCACAGGATGTCTGGTCCTTCTTCCGGGGTTTGGGCAGCTCCAGGTGACTGGACGGCGCTCACGGCTCTCCTGGGGTGCGGCCCCATCTCGCCGCCGCTCCTGACGGTTTCCTCCTTTCCAGGATGTGGAGGTCAGCCCCAAGGTGGAATCCGTGTTGTCCCTCCTGAATGCCCCAGGGCCGAACCTGAAGCCGGTGCGGCCCAAAGCCCTGCTGGACAACTGCTTCCGGGTCATGGAGCTGCTGTACTGCTCCTGCTGTAAGGAGCTGTCAGGGGATGGGGCCTGGAGGCGGGAGGTCGGGCATCTGGGCCCAGGCCAGCTGGCAGGGCCGGCATTCTCCCGGGCATATCCTCTGCTCCCCAGGGCTACAAGCCATTTCTGGAAGCCAGGATGGGCCCTGGGTAGGGTGGGGGACCAGCACACGTGGCTTGGTTTGGTGGGGACGGTGGTCTTGAACACTGCTGCAGTCTTTTTTTTTTTTTTTTCCTACCCCTTGCAGGTAAACAAAGCTCCGTCCTAAACTGGCAGGACTGTGAGGTGCCAAGTCCTCAGTCTTACTGCCCAGAGCCCTCATTGCAATATGCGGCCACCCAGCTGTACCCTCCACCCCCGTGGTCCCCCAGCTCCCCGCCTCACTCCACAGGCTTGGCGAGGCCGGTCAGGGCACAGGGCGAGGGCCTCTTGCCCTGAGCACTCTGGATGGTGACTGCAGATAGGGGCAGCCAGACCAGCTCCCACAGGAGTTCAACTGGACCTGAGACTTCGAGGGGTGGTGGTGAGACCCCCCTTGGGAGAGGACCCCAGGGAAGGGGGTTTTTCCTTTGAGGGAGATTCTGCGCCACAGCAGGGCTCAGCTTCCTGCCTTCCATAGCTGCCATGGCCTCACCTGGAGTGGAGGGGACCTGGGGACCTGAAGGTGGATGGGGACACAGCTCCTGGCCCCTCCTGGCGCTGCCCTCACTGTCCCCCTCCTGAAGGGGGTGCTAAGCCTGCTGTGGCCCGCAGCAGTGAGGCCACAGCCGTGGGTTGCAGGGAGACAGGCAGCACGTGGCCATTTTAGGACCCCCCAGCCTGGCAGACTGGGGAGCTGGGGGCAGAGGGCGGTGCCAAGTGCCACATCTAGCCATAGCGGATGCTCTTCCAGTTTCTTTTTTCTATTAAACACCCCACTTCCTTTGGTTTGCTTTGCTTTGCATCTTCAGGGGTGAACCTGGAGGGGATGGGAGGTGGCCAAGCGCAGGAAGTCAATGGGGGCGGGGCTGAGGGTGTGGATTCGGAGTGGATGGAGCCTGCCCAAGGGATGTGGAATGAGAAGGATGCCAGGGATGGAGTTCCGGATCTGCCTAGCCCAGGGGCCTCTGTAAGCCTGGGTTTGGGGAGGCGGTGTTGGGCTGATCCCCTCGCCTTGACCCTTGCCATCCTCCCTCCCTCCCTCCATCTGGCTGCCCCCAGGCAGCCCCTAGCAGGGACACCTGTGGGGCATTTCAGAGACCCAGGTCTGGCCCTGGCCCCCACATGGAGATCTGAGATCCTCCGGGAGCCCCCAGCCTGGCCCCCTGCAGCTAGGATCTGGGGTAGGAAAGGTGAGGTGTGGGGATGGGGTGGGAAAGCAGCCAGGCAGAGGCAGGGGTGTTAATTACAGTACACCTTTATTAATACTGGAATCTTCACAGTGCATCTGTTACTTGTAGCAGTGACTATTTAAATCAGGGGGAGGATGGTGTGGAGGGGGCAGGGAGGAGAGGAGAATTTTTCCAAAATCTGACAGAAAGAAAAGAAACAAAATGGTTCGTATGGGATGGAGGGTAGGGGAGGGGGGGAAGGGTGAGTAGGAACCAGGAGGGCTGCCTGGGGTGGGGGAATAAATTAAGAAAAGGAACGAGTTAACAACAGCACCAGGAAAGTTACTTCAGTCAAAAGACGCTTTTGAAAAGAATATTTCTCTGTACAAAATGAGAAATTAAACAAACGTAAAGTCCCCCAAACCAAAGTTTGTGATGTGGGATGGTTGGCTCGGATCCCGAGGTGGGTGGGCCTACGAGGTGGTCGCTACGTCGATGCAAGGGCGGCAGGGGTGGTCTCAGGATGGACGAGGGGATGGGGTAGAGTATGTACAGCCCCCGGGGCTTGCAGGGGAGGGGCACGGCGGAGTTGGTGGGGGCTGTGCCACACGAGCCCCCCTCTCTGGGAAGCCCCTGCCTCCTTTCCCATCAGGACCTCTGAAGCCCAGGCCTGCCCACCCACTGCCCCTCACACTATTCCCACCACATCCTGAATCCTGCTCCACCGCCCTGCCTCAGCAGACCCCTGCAGCCCTGGGGAGAATGTGCGGCAGAAATTCCACCCAAGACTCCCCACACTGGTCACCTGCTCTCCTGGCCCCTAAAACAGGGGCCCTGATGTTGGCCTGACCTCCACGGGTTGAGTGCTCGGCCAGGCAGTTGTTGGACCTGGTGACTTACAGGGACCATTCTCCATCAGCGCTCTCTGATGAGACTCCGTGCACATCAGGGCCTGCTTGGTGCCCAGACTTACCCAGGAGCTGCCCTGCCGGGGTCCCAACTCACCGCACAAGAACTTCCAGGAGCTCAAGCCTGGGAGGCTCAGACCCAGCTCCACTCCATCAAGACCAAGGTGCTCCTGACCCCCAGGTAGGACCCTGCCCTGGGGCCACGATGCCCTCCGAGCCCTGCTTTCCCTCCTGACCTGCGGGGCCACCAGGACTTCCTCCGCTTGCCTTAGGCTCACGTGCTTTTACCTGCTGAGACTTGGCGTGACTTGGTGCGTGGGGTGGGGGCAGCTTTGCCCCTCCCCCTGCCCCCGCTGCCAGCGCAAGCCTGGACTACAGTGGGGGCCGTCCTGGGATGGCATCTCCTCTGGCAACAGAGAGTCAAAGCCAATCTTCCCAGACTCGCTCCCCTACCTGAGCTTGCAGCTGGCTCAGACCACAGCAGACAGGCCGGGAGCCTCCCAACCCTATTTTGGCTACGCTCAAGACGCCAGAGAGAACAGTAGCTTTCCCAGGGCTCTGGGGGAGCCAAGTCCCCCCCTTCTCCTCCTGCCATAGGACCACCAGGCCACGGGGGGGGGCTGTCCCCCAGGTGTTCCCAGACACCCACCCTGTATCGTCCCCTCACCCCCACACACAGCCCTCGTCCACAGCCAGCTCCATTTTATTATATTCATAAAATGACCCCACACCTCCTACTGCTCCAGTCCCCTCCTTCCAAAGGTGGCTGAAACTGTGACCCCAAAGTTAAAGGATTGATGTACCCAATGAGAAGTGAACATCTGAAAACGGTGCCTGTGTGGCTGGCCGGTGACCCTAGGGCCTCCGGCCTCCTAACCCTGCTGCCCTAGTTTCCAAGGAACTGCCCTGGCCCCCCCCCAGCCAGCCTCATGGGGTCGGGGAGGCGAGGGGTGGGAGCCACCACAGGGCCCCCGGGACTCCCCAGGCAGCCCCTGGTTTCCTCCCTGAGACTCGGCGTGGGCCCTGGAACTCCCTTCCCACACGGGAGGGCCTGGCTGCCCAACTCCAACCTGCTGCCCTGGCCCCCAGCCCCCAGCAGACATCCAGCCCAGCGCGCACCCGCCCTCCACAGCCGCTCTGCTTCCCGGAGAGAGAGGCCTGGGAGAGGCAGAGAGAAGGCAAGAGGGGAGGAGGGGGGCTCAGGCAGGGGAGAGGGGGCCAGCATTCCAGGAGGAGCTGAGGCAGGACCAGCCCTGGGAGAGGCCGGGATGGTGAGAGGGAGGCCAGCCCGGCCCCTCTGCTGTGGGCGGGGCCCTGGCCCTGGTGCTCACGGGTATGGAAGAGGCAGGGCCCGAGAGGAGGAAGAGGAGGGACGGAAGAGCATAAAACAGACCCCGAACCAGGCCCAGGCCTGCAGGCTCCGTCCCGGCCAGGCTTGCTAAGAAGTCACTTCCCGTTTAAATGCTGGAATCCAAGTGAGGTGTCTCTTTCTGTAAAGTGGCATGGCCTCTGCCCTGGTTCTGTCCTCTCTCCTGGCTGGGCCTTTGCTTTGAGTGCCTGCGGCTCACAGACCAGGCCACCTGCTCGCACTGGGGCCTGAGAGGATGGGGAGGGTGGCGCCATCATAAGATGCGGGGCGCCGACCTGTCGTTGGTGACGGTCCTGCGGAGCCGGACCCCACGCCGGATGGCCACCAGCATGTCTTCGGCCGGGGGGTCGCTGGTGGCGGCTGGGGGCGGGGTGGGTGTCTCCTCCGTGGGGGTGGCCGACAGAGCAGTGGGGAAGGGGAACTGGCCCTCGCCCAGTGCGTGGGCACCCGCCACCAGCTCCCCCAGCTTCTCCACCAGACTGTGCCGGTTGGCCGCCAGCTGCTGCTGCTCGTCCTCGGCACCTGCCCCGGGGTACCCGGCTGCCTCTGGGGATGGGCTGCCCCAGGCTGTGTTGGGCAGGCTGAGCCTCTTTGGGGAGGCCTTGGCAAGGTCCGGTGCCAGGGGTGAGGCGGTCTCGTCGGTGTAGAAGACGCACTCCTCGCTGCCCGCCCGTGTGGGCCCCATGTAGCCGGGTGAGTCAGGCACCGTGGGCGTCTTCACAGGGACGATGGGTGGCCGGATGGGGATGGGGCCAGCGCTGGACAGGGCGCGGCGCACGGTAGGCTTGGTGGAGGGCGTGCGGCGGATGGTGGCCACGCCAGGGGGTGCGCCCGAGGGCAGGCCAGTGGCCGTGGGCAGCCCCGCGGTGGGCAGCCCAGCAGTGGAGGCTGGGCGCTTGGTCTGGATCAGGCGGCGGTAGTTCTGGGCGATGTTGCTGTTGCGCGGGATGGTGGATGACTTGTCAAACTCAGGCGGGCCCTCGCTGTCTGCATCCCCATTCACAGAGTAGCAGTCGTAGTCAGAGCCTGGGGGCATGGGACGCAGTAAGGCCGGGGGCCCAGGTGGTTCCTTGCCCCCAGCCCACCAGGGTGAGCACAGAGGGGGAAGGACGGGGCCCTCCTGGATGGCGAAGTCCCAGCCATCCCTGGTCCCACCCCAGCCCCGCAGGCCTGCCTTGGGAGGGGATGGTGTCCTCAGAGCAGGAGGGCGTGGTGGTCTGCGTGCTGTAGCCGCTGGAGTACTGCAGCGAGTCCCGGCTGCTCTTCTGGTGCTCCAGGCTCAGGCCGCGCGTCAGCACCATGGCCAGGTCACTGGCTGCGGGGGACACCTCCTCGCTGTGCTGAGGGTGGGAAAGTGCAGGCTGAAGCCTTGTGCCCCCAATCCCCTCTGTCCAAACTCCAGGCAGCCCTGCCAGGTGGTTGGAGCTGGCCCTGAGGCCACTGGCTGGGCCTCCTGGGACTAACCTGGGAGTGAAGGGGGGCCCTGGCCGGCCTACCTTGGCCGCGATGGTGGCAGGGGACATCCGGGGTCGTGGTGCCTCTTCCCCGCTGGGGCCCAGGGTGCCCCCACTGGCAGGGCCTGGCTCTGTGTCTCTCAGGAGCTCCACTCGGTCCTTCCTCCGTTGCAGAGTGGCGCCTGAGGGCTGCTCGTGGGAGCCAACCTTGGACCAGTCCTGCAGGGAGGGTGTGGCAGGTCAGGGGGACCCTTGGCCCTACCATCTACAGCCCGGGGGCCCCTCACTGTGGCTGAGGCTCACGGTGTCCAGGGCTATGAAGGGCCTCTGGTTCACAGTCACAGCCAAGGGCAGAACATGGAGTGTGACCGTGGCCCCTCAGCTCCACCAGGCCCAGGGGTAAGATGTGGCTGTGTGGGCAGTGACTGTAGGAGGTGGCCAGGTGGCTTGTCTCTTGGGGACAGGTGCTGTGTGCACGCACCCCTGGCTGAACCCAGGCCCTCTGTGTGGTAATGGCACCAGGTGGAAAGAGCACGGATAGGAGGGGCAGCTGGTGACTATCCTGGGGCCGGGCTGGGAGCACTGACCGAGGTGGGGGAGCTGCACTCGCTAACGGACTGGCAGGTTTCCGAGGCCTCAGAGGATGCAGAGCTGGAGGACTTCTGCCATGCAGAGGCCAGCAGGCGGTTGCAGACAGAGGGGCCGGCGGGCAGCGAGGAGGAGAGGAGAGAACAGTTTTGGTCACAGAGCTGGCATGCAAGAGGGCGGTTCAATTCAGCACCTTGCCCAGCGCCCACCCCCCTACCCCAGGGCCACAGCCGCTGAGCATCTGCAGCAGGACACAGCAGCCCAGAGTGCACGCGATGGGCGCTGATGCACCCGACAGCCCAGCCCTGCGCATTTCGAAGACTGACCACAGGATTCACTGCTGACAGCCTGGATGTGGCCAATAAGGGGGAAAAGAGATACTAAGGGTGGCAGCTGGGTGTTTGGTCTGAGCAGTTGGGTTGATGGTGTCACAGTTTTCTCAGACAGGACACGGGGGAAGTGTGAAGCCCCAGGTGCCACGCTGAGCACTGAGCTGAGCTGCCTCTGAGGTCTCTGCATGGATGCAATGAGGGCCGTCGTATTCACAAGCTGAGTGCAGGGAGAAGTTGGGGTTGGAGCCATCAGTGCAGCGATCTTGGGGTAGGATGAGGCCACCAGGCAGCGAGTGCAGTTAGACAAGATTGAACGGCCAGGCCCGCGGCTGCTGATGCGCAGCAGTTGGGAGGAAGAAGAGAGTCCCGTAAAGGAGAGCGACAGGGAGTGGCCGGAGAAGTAGGAGGAGAACCATGAGCAGGCGATGCCCCAGGAATAAGGAGAGCCTGCTCTGTGGAGAAGGGGGTGGCTGTGCTGATGCTGCTGGATGGGGCTGTCCGCTTGGGGCACAGGGTGTCCATGGAGACTCTGAGGAGAACTGCTTCCGTAGAATGGGGTGGGGGAAGCCTGTTTTAAAGTGGACTGAAGTATGAAAGTGACACGCCTGCTCTGGGCAGTGGGATGGACTAGGTGTCCTGGGACGCCCTCCCTTCCTAAACAACTACAAAGAATAAAGAAAAAAGCAGGGTAGACACAGGCCCACGAACTCCTGAGCACGTGTGATGAGCAGGGTTCCCTGGGCAGACGCCAGCTTCATCTGCAGCAGGACACAGCAGCCCAGAGTGCACACGATGGGTGCTGACCCACTCGATAGCCCAGCCCTGCGCATTTCGAAGACTGACCACAGGACTCACTGCTGACGGCCTGGATGTGGCCAGTAAGGGGGAAAAGAGATACTAAGGGTGGCAGCAGTGGGGACATGGAGCACGGTGAGGTGTTGGCCTGGGAATGAGCCAAGTTAAGCCAGGGCAGCCCCCTTCCTCCAGCTCTCTGAATCATTCTGGATTTAGATCCCCAGATTTCCTGCAGATTCGAATGAACCAAGATCACCAAAATAAAAGGAAACCAGGCACCACCTGTGAGAATTCAGAGGAAATAACAAATGCAGACTTTTGGCAATATGATGGTTAAAGTAAAAAACTCAATGGAAAAAGTATTTGGAAAACTCAGATAAAAAGTTCAACACTCGCTCATGAAAAAACAAACAAAACAAAGACACAAGCTTCTAAAAAGGAAGCTGCTCTGATAAAGAATATCTACAAATGCACTGATACTTTTCCCTCTGAGATTGGGAGAAAGACAAGGATGCCCACTGTCATCACTCCTGTTCAGCACTGGAAATCTTGGCTAGTGCAATAAAGCAAGAAAAAGAAATAAACAAATGGATTGGAAAGAAAAGAAAGAAGGCCAAGTGTGGTGGCTCATACCTGTAATCCCAGCACTTTGGGAGGCTGATATATAAGGATCACTTGAACCCAGGAGTTCGAGACCAGCCTAACATAGTGAGACCCCTGTCTTTATAAAAAATAAAAAAGCCAGGTGTGCTGGCACATGCCTGTGGTCCCAGCTACACAGGAAGCTGAAGCAGGAGGATATCTTGAGCCTAGGAATTCAAGACTGCAGTGAGCTGTGATCTCACCATTGAACTCTAGCACTCCAGTGGGGGTGACAGAGCAAGACTCTGTCTCACAAAAAAAAAAAAAAAAAGATCACTATTTACAAGTGACATAATAGTATATGTAGAATATTAAAAAGAATCTACAAGTTATTAGAATCAACGTAGGATTAACCTTTTAACAAGGTTATTGGAACAAAGTCAGAAAAAGATCAATTGCATTTCTAAATACTAGCAGCTAACAGGAAAACAAAAAACCACCCTAAAACACTAATGTAATTTACAATAACGTCAATAAACACTGAATACATAGGGAAAAAATTCCAATGACAGATATGCTAGATCTTTACACAAAAACCACAAAACAAGCTGGGCATGGTGGCTCACGCCTGTAATCCCAACACTTTGGGAGGCCAAGACGGGAGGATCACATGAGGCCAGGAGTTTGAGACCAGCCTGGCCAACAAGGTGAAACCTCGTCTCTACTAAAAATACAAAAATTAGCCTGGCATGGTGGTGCATGTCTGTAATCCCAGCTACTCGGGAGGCTGAGGCACCCAGGAGGCTGAGGTTGCAATGAGCTGAGATTGCACCACTGCACTCCAGCCTGGGTGACAGAGTGAGACTCTGCCTCAGAAAAAAACCCGAAAACCAAAAACTCCTACAAAACATTATTGAGAGGAAGTAAAGCCTAAACAAACGGAGAGATATATCTGCAATTCCATTCAAATCCCAGGAGCTTTTTTTCTTTTCTTTTGGTGGAAACTGACAAGCTGATCCTAAAAGTTACATGGAAATGCAAAGGGCTGAAAAAAGACAAAGTGGTACCAAAAAAATAACCAAGCTAGGGGACTTCCATGATCAGATATCAAGATTTTCTATAAAGTCTGGCTGGGCACAGTGGCTCACGCCTATAATCCCAGCACTTTGGGAGGCTGAGGTGGGTGGATTGCTTGAGATTAGGAGTTTGAGACCAGCCTGGCTAACATAGCAAAACCCCAATACAAAAAATACAAAACATTAGCTGGGTGTGGTGGTGCACATGTAATCCCAGCTACTCAGGAGGCTGAGGGATGAGAATTGCTTAAGTGTGGGAACAGAGGTTTCAGTGAGCCAAGATTGCACCTCTGCACTCTCCAGCCTGGGGGACAGAGTGAGACTGTCAAAAAAAAAAAAAAAAGACTTTTTATGAAGTTACAATAATTAAGATGGTGTGGCATTGATATAAGGCAGAGAAATCAACAAGTAGGACAGAGTGCCAAGTCCAGAAATAACCACACACCTACAGATACCTGACTGATGATGAAGGCAGCACTGCTGTGCACTGAGGAAAAGAAGATGCTATGCTCCAAATGTCTATGTCTCCCCCAAATTCCTCTGTTCAAATCTTAACCCCCAAGATGAGGTACTGAGAGGTGGTTAGATCATGAGGGTGGAGCCCTCATGAAAGGGATCTTATAAAAGAAGTTTGAGGGACCTAGTTTGCCCCTTCCAACACTGAGGACACAGCAAGAAGGTGACATCTATGAACCAGAAAGTGGGTCCTCACCAGACACCGTATCTGCTGGTGTGTTGATCCTGGCCTTCCAGCCTCCAGAGCTGTGAGCACTACATTTCTGAAGTCTAAGCCACCCAGGTTATGGTATTTTGTTACGGCAGTCCAAATTGACTAAGACATATTTTTCTTTTTTTTCAATACACTGTCCTGGGTCAATTGGATATCCATGTGAAAAAAATGACCCCTACCTCACACCACACACACACTCAATTCCAGATGAGCTGCAGATCTAAAGGAAAAGGGCAAAACCAAAAGGCTTTTTAGAGGAAAACATCTTTGTGACCTTGCAGTAGGCAAAAATATCTCAAGTAGGACACAAATAGCACTAACAATTTAAAAATGGATAAACTGGACTATTTTAAAACTAAGAACTTCTGGTCATTAAAAGACCCCCATTAAGAGAATAAAAATGTACCCATAGAAGGAGAGAAGATATCCAATGAGGAACTTTATCTGCAATATCAAAAAGTTCTATAAATTGGTAAGAAGAAGACAGATAATGCAGTAGAAAAATGGGCAAACGATTTAAAAAGGTCCTTCATGAAAGGAAATATTCTAATGGTCTTTAAGGGTATGAAAAGGTAGCTGGGTTCAATGGCACACATCTGTAGTCTCAGCTATTCAGGAGGCTGAGGTAGGAGGATTGCTTAAGCTCAAGAGTATGAGGCCAGCCTGGGCAACACAGCAAGACCCTATCTCTTAAAAAAAAAGTATGAAGGCTGGGCACGGTAGCTCACGCCTGTAATCCCAGCACTTTGGGAAGCCAAGGCGAGCAGATAACCTGAGGTCAGGAGTTCAAGACCAGCCTGGCCAACATGGTGAAAGCCCGTCTCTACTAAAAATACAAAAATTAGCCAGGCGTGGTGGCATACGCCTGTAATCCCAGCTACTCGGAAGCCTGAGGCAGGAGAATTGCCTGAGCCTGGGAGGCGGAGGTTGCAGTGAGCCAAGATCGTGCCACTTGGCTCGAGCCAAGATCATCCAGTCTGGGTGACAGAGCGAGACTCTGTTTCATAAAACAAGCCAACAAACAAAAGTATGAAAAGGTGTTCAATCTCAACAGCATTAGAGAAATGCAAATAAAATATACAGGGAATTACTATTACTATCCCCCAGCAGAATGGCTAAAATGAAATCAATATAAAATGCCAAGGGCTGGTGAGGATGTGGAACAGCAATGAACTGTCATAATCTTGGCCAGGTATGGTGGCTCATGCCTGTAATCCCAGCACTTTGGAAGGCGGAAGTGGGTGGACTGCCTGAGGTCAGGTGTTTGAGACCTGCTTGGCCAACATGGCAAAACCCCATCTCTACTAAAAATACAAAAATTAGCCAGGTGTGGTGGCATGCACCTGTAATCCCAGCTACTCAGGAGTCTGAGGCAGGAGAATCACTTGAACCCCAAGAGTGGAGGTTGCAGTGAGCTGAAATTGCACCACTGTACTCCAGCCTGGGAGTGAGACTGTCTCAAAAACAAAACAAAACAAAACACAAAACACTGTCCTAATCTTGCTAACAGGAGGGTAAATTCGTATGAGCACTTTGGTTCACTGTTTGGTAGTACCTATCAAATCTGAAGATGTGCATATCCATGACTATGCAATTCTGCTCCTAGGAATGTGCCCCACAGAACTGCATACTAGAATGTTCACAGCAGCACTATTAGCAGCATCATAGCCAAAAAACTGGAAACTATGCAAATGTCCATCAAAAGAGTTAATTATGTATTCACACAATAGAATGCCATATAGCAACGCGCAAGATCTATATCTCTACCTAAAACATGGATGAATCTCATCAACATAACTGAGCAAAAAGAAGCCAGACATAAAGGATACATACTATATGATTCCAAGTATACACGTAGAAAGGATAAAAAGGGCAAAACTAGGCCAGGCACTGTGGCTCACGCCTGAAATCCCAGTGATTTGGGAAGCTGAAGTGGATGGATTGCTTGAAGGCAGGAGTTCAAGACCAGCCTAGGAAACATAGTGAGACCCCCATCTCTATAAAACAAAAAATATAAAAATTAGCCAGGCATGATGGTGCACACCCGTAGTCCCAGCTACTTGGGAGGCTGAGGCAGGAAGACTGCTTGAGCCTGGGTGACAGAGTGAGATCCTGTCTCAAAAAAAAAAAAAGTCAGGATAGTGGTTACCCTTGGGTGTGTAGTGACTTAAGTGAGCACTGGTGGCTTCAGGAGTGGTGGTTATCCTGCTTATATTCTTGTTCTTGGTGTGTTTAGAATACCTCGATAAAAAAGTTCCTTGGCCAGGTGTGGCAGGTCATGCCTGTAATCCCAGCACTTGGGAGGCTGACATGGGTGGATCACTTGAGATTAGGAGTTCCAGACCAGGCTGGTCAAAATGGCAGAACCCCGCCTCTACTAAAAATACAAAAATTAGCTGGGCATGGTGGCACACACCTGTAATCCCAGCTACTTGGGAGGCGGAGGCAGGGGAATGGCTTGAACCCGGGAGGAGGAGGTTGCAGCGAGCCAAGACCGCACCATTGCACTCCAGCCTGGACAGTGGAGCAAGAGTCTGTCTCAAAAGGAAAAAAAAAAAGTTCCTGAAAGACTCAATGGTGATGGGTTATAACCCGTAGAATAAAAGAAATATTTATGAGCCCATATTGATAGAAATTAAAAATTGAATATATAAATAAATGGGGGAGAAGGGACAGATCTTTTTATAGTAGAATCTCAATTAAAAAATATAGGAGAAATGACGGAAATAGAAAGTCAACTATTTTAACAAGCAAGAATCATCAGTGGATGCCAAAACTAGTGAGCAAAAGTACAAGGAGAAGCAGGAGATTTTCATCGTCTCAAAAGTATCCCTTCACAGTATATTCCATTAATTAAAAAGGCGGAAATAATGACTCTCCAGTGGAGAAACTTGGCATACACCACCTTAACCAAGGATCAAGGTGAACATCACCAGTCACACGGCACAGTGACATTGTGCAGCATTTAGGATGCACCAAGAAGGGGACAACCGCACTTCTGTGGTACTCTTGCCAAAACTGTATGACTTCTAATTCTGAATGAAAAGACATCAGACAAAGCCAGATTCAGAGGCATCCTACAAAACATCTGACTGATATTCTTCAAAAGTATCAAAGTCATGAAAAACAAGGAGGGACAGGTGTGAGAAACTGTCATGAGCTGGAGAAACTGAGGTGACACCAACACGAAACACTATGTAGGGTCCTAGCCGGGAGCAGTGGCTCATGTCTGTAATCCCAGCGCTTTGGGAGGCTGAAGTGGGCAGATCACCTGAGGTCAGGAATTTGAGACCAGCCTGACCAACACGGTGAAACCCCGTCTCTACTAAACACAAAAAATTAGCTGGGTGTGGTGGTGCATGCCTGTAATCCCAGCTACTTGGGAGGCTGAGGCAGAAGAATCGCTTGAACCCATGAGGCAGAGGTTGCAGTGAGCCAAGATTGCACCACTGCACTCCAGCCTGGGTGACAAGAGCGAAACTCTGTCTCAAAAAAAAAAAAAGAAAAGAAAAGAAAAGAAAAAAAACCCAGGAACATTATGTAGGGTCCTGAATCGGGTCATGGACCCCTGGACCAGGAGAGGGAAAACTGGCAAAAATAGAAAGAAGACTGTAGATTACTTAGTATTACACCAGTGTTAATTTCTTGGTTTTAAAAACGTTTTTGATGGTTATGTAAAGTAAGATGTCAACATTGGGGAGACTCTGGGAAGAGTATATGGGAACTCTACACATTTTACAACTTTTCTACAAGTCTAAAATGATTTCAAAATAAAAAGTTAAAAAGCAAAAAGGAGAAAAAGTCGATTGTAAGATAAAACTGAAGAAATGATCCAGAATATATCTGGAGAAAAAAGGAGATAGAAAATATGAGCTAAGAGATGCATAAGATAGAAAGAGAGGGCTGGACATGCATCCAACTGGAATCCCAGCAGGAGAGAATAGAAAGAATCAAAGTGGAAGTAAAGAGATAATGACTGGCTGGGCGCGGTTGCTCACACCTGTAATCCCAGCACTTTGGGAGGCCGAGGCAGGCAGATCCCTTGAGCCCAGGAGTTCAAGACCAGCCTGGGCAACATGGCAAAATGTAGTCTCTACTAAAAATACAAAAATTAGCTAGGCATGGTGGCGCATGCCTATAGTACCAGCTGCTTGGGAGGGTGAGGTGGGAGGATCGCTTGAGCCTGGGAGGAGGAGGTTGCAGTGAGCCAAGATCATGCCACTGTGCTCCAACCTGGGTGACAGAGTGAGACCCTGTCTCAAAACAAAACAAAACAAAACAAAACGAGATAATGACTGAAAATTTCCAGAACAAATGAAAGACATGAATACAAACCAAGAGAGGTTAAATAAAAATAAATCTACATTGTACACACATTGTAGCACAACTAAACAGAAGGCCTAAAAGTGTCCAGAGAAGGACTCAGATTCCTCAAAAAGAAGCATCAGTGACTGACAGCTGACCTTCCAACCAATGGTGGAAACCAGAACACAGCGGAAAACTATCTACCTTCACAGTGTGGATGGAAGACAACGGTCACCCCAGAATAGTGCTCCTGGCCAAACGAACTTTCAAGAAGGAGGACAAAAGAAAACATGTTACAGATAAACAAAACCCGAGAGTTTACAACTACAGATCTATTCTAAAAGAACTTCTAAAAGATGTTCTTTACTTCAGAAAGAAAGAAAGTAAGCTTTGGAGGATTTGAGATGCGAGGAAAAAATAACAAGACATGTGTATAACATATGGGTAAATCTAAACAAGTACTGTATGTATAAAATAAAGAAATGAAGAAGAAAAATGTCATTTGTGGGTACTATAAAAAAAGAGAAAATAATATAGCTTGTAAGTTTGAGAGAGAGTGGGTGACAAGTAAAAAATGTATATATTAAGAGCCTTGAATTATTCAGGAGGTGGGGTTCTGACTTCGTTAAGTCTGCATGTTAAGATTTCAAGGTAATCTATAAAAGAAAAGAGATAGTATATAACTTACAATTCAGTAGAGGGGAAATAAGAGAAAAGAAAAAACAAAGGCAAGGGTAGAGACAAGAATTCAGGACAAACAAAAAGAAGAAAGCCAGAAGTCTAAATATGTCAGTATTCATAATATATACAAAGGTGCTAAAAATGCCAATTAAAAGATAGAGGTTGTCAGATTGGATAAAAAAAGAAAATCTAGGCATTATACTGCTTACAAGAGACTCATTAAAAATAAAAAGATATGTGAATTTAAAAGCAGAGATAAAAAATGATAATATAAATACTGAACAGAATAAAGGCCTTGGGGGCCTTCAGGCCAGTCTAAACAGCTATAGTAGCCCCACATGTGGCTTGCCTGATGCTGGCATAAGGCTGCTGTACCCCACCCTGATTGATCCCTCTAACGCCCCCTCACCTGGCTGGTGATGTCTGAAGGCATAGGCGAGGGGGGCTTGGAGTAGGTGGCATCCTGGGAGACGAAGCCAGAGTCATGGGAGGAAACGCTGGAGAGGCGAGTGGTGGTGGTGACTGGCTGCGCCAGGCTGCGGTAGCGACAGGTGGAACTGGGTGAGTATGTTTGGGCACCCCCAGGCCATGGGGCTCCGCCACCCTTGGCACTGCTACTGCTGCTGGGGGCACTAGGGGAGTGAAGGAAGAGGGCACAGCAGCCAGACAGGGAGACAGAGGGGTGTGCATTTCGGGGAGGTTGACAGACGAGGGTGGGGAAAGAGGTGAGGGGCAAAGGAAGGAAAAGACAATGTCAGACTAGGAGGTCCTGAGACCCAGGTGCTACAGAGGAGCTGTGTTCTGGGACGGTGTGGAAGGGGAGTGCCAGAGCAGGGTACCCCCAAGCCCCAGTGCTGAGGGGAGCTGTGGTCAGGGAATGCCCAGGGTCAGGCGACCTCTCTGCCTCCTATTCTGCCACTAAGAACAGCTGTCCAGGCCGAGCACAGTGGCTCATATCTGTAATCCCAGAACTTTGGGAGACCAAGGTGGGTGGATCATTTGAGGACAGGGGTTCAAGACCAGCCTGGAGAACACAGTGAAACCCCATTGCTACTAAAAATGCAAAAGTTAGCCAGGCATGGTGGCGTACGCCTGTAATCCCAGCTACCTGGGAGGTTGAGGCATGAGAATCACTTGAACCTGGGAGGTGGAGGTTGCAGTGAACCAAGATTACGCCACTGCACTCCAGCCTGGGTGACAGAGCAAGGCTCTGTCTTGAAAAAAAAAAAAAAAAAGAAAAGAAACAAGAAACAGTTGTCTTGTCTGGGTGTGGTGGCTCACACCTGTCCCAGCACTTTGGGAGGCTGAGGTGGGTGGATTGCTTGAGTCCAGGAATTTCAGACCAGCCTGGGCAATATGGTGAGACCCCATCTCTACAAAAAATATGAAAATTAGCCAGGCATGGTAGTGCACACCTGTAGTCCCAGCTACTTGGGAAACTGAGGTAGGAGAATCACTTGAACCACGGAGGTCGAGGCCACAGTGAGCCATGATTGTGCCACTGCACTCCAGCCTGGGTGACAGAGCGAGACCCTGTCTCACAACAACAAAAAAACCCAAAAAACCCACCAAAAAACCTATTGGTTTCACCAAAGATCTTAATCTAGATTCTTAGATCCTAAAGAATATATCTTTATCACTAATGACCCACCATTAAAAAAAAAAAAGTTTTATGATGGCAGAAACTGCGGATACTGGGCATCAAACAATTAAACCAACACAAGTCCTGATCATTTCTTTTTTTTTTTTTTTTTTTGAGACGGAGTCTCGCTCCGTCACCCAGGCTGGAGTGCAGTGGCGCAATCTCGGCTCACTCCAAGCTCTACCTCCCGAGTTGACGCCATTCTCCTGCCTCAGCCTCCCGAGTCGTTGGGACTACAGGCGCCCGCCACCACGCCCGGCTAATTATTTTGTATTTTTTAGTAGAGACGGGGTTTTGCCATGTTAGCCTTGGCCTCCCCAAGTGCTAGGATTACAGGCATGAGCGACTGCCCGCGGCGAGTCCGATCATTTCTAAACCACCTTCTGAAAATCTGGTATTTGCCATCCAGTCCTAACTGGATGTCTAGCACATGGTGACGGTGTGTCCGGGTACAGAGGTCACCTTCCAGGTGGATCCTGCACCCACCATCACTCTCACCCTCTCCACTCCCTCAAGGGGTGTCCAGCCCTCCACGGCTCACACCCTCAGCACAGCAATTCAACCCTTGGATGGTGTTCCTGGCAATGAAAGTTGCCTTCTCTCTAAGCATGACCCTGAAGCCTTCCAGCCTCTGCTCATGGCTGTCCCCTGCAATCAGCCCCTTCACTGCGGGACGGCCACCCACGCAGGGTCTGCAGAGCTTCTCTCTGAGGTAGTAGCTGATTGCTGTGCCTGGCTTCTCACAAGCTCTGGATGTCCAGCCAGTGATTCTGGGGAGAGGGGTACCTGGTAAAGGGGGACCCCCACCAGCACTTCACTCTGTGTTTACTGCCCTTCCCACCTAAGGAACCCTGAACCATCAATGTCTCCTCCAAACCCAGTCCCAGTGCCCGACCAAGGAAAGGCCCTGATCCTGAGCCTGGCTAGTGACTGCAAGATCCTTGGCCTCTCCCCAGCTCTGTGAGGCTCCCGGGGCCAGCCTGGGCCAAGGCTCCAGATGTGGCAGCTGCCTCCATGGGAACCAGCTCTTAGGAGCCAGCCAGGCTGGAGTGTCCTATACCTTGTGGCCCCAGTACATGTTTCTAGAAGCCTTCCTATCTCTCCCTGATCTTTGACTCTTACTGTGACCCCACACGGTGCTGGGCCTGGCAGAGTCCAGCGGTTAAATGCTGGGACTTCATGCGTCAGTTTTCCCTTCTGTGAAATGGAGATAACACCATACCTGATACAGCAGTGTTAGGATTCAATGAGAAAAAATGCATAAAGCAATTAGCACAGCACCTGGCACATAGTAGATGCTCCATAAATGAAGCAGGTACCGCCCCTGCTCTCTATCCTGCCAACAAACGCCTGTGCCAATAGCAGTCTTGGGATGACAGGGCACATTTTCCCTCTACATATGCAAATTCCTCAGATGATGTAAAAGTTGTGAATTTTGAGGCCCTGAAGCAATTTCTGATGCAGCTTTGCTGGGAACATCCCCATTTCCTCTTGGGATACCGCCCCCCAACACCCCTGGGAACCCCACCTCCACTGACCTGCACATGCTGGACTTCCGGGAGCTGGAGCTGCTGGGTGATGAGGGTGGGGTCTGGTAGGACCAGCTGTAGTCCGAGCCCTTTAGGTCTTTGATTACCTGGACAGGGACATGGATGGGGGTCACTGGAGGCAGCTCCTCAGAGCTAGTAGGGCCGGAGGCCCCCACTCTCTTCCCAGTTGGGTCTTCTCCCCAGGAGAAGACCCAGGAGTCTGAAGCCCCCTCCCCCCGGCTTCTCCTAATGTGGGGAGCAGGGAGACACTGGGGGACACAGCCTTCTTAGAGCCCCTTCAGCTCACACACACAGAGTACAGATTCCGAGCCCAGCCTGGGCTGGGCGAGTGACCCTGACACCATGGGGTGCAGGTTGCTCCTGCGCCTCTCTGAGTTTGCTTTCTCCTGTGAATCGGGGCCACCTGTTCCTGTCTTAGAGCGGAAGATACCCTGAGATAACTTGGCAGATGCTGGGCATGCAACAAGTGCCCCCGGAGTGTGCTGCCCGCAGGCTGTGGGGCAGGACTGGTCTGAGTGCAGTGGGAGCAGGGTTGGGGTGGGGTGGCCAGGTATGCCTGGGTCTAGGGGAGGGGATGGGGTTTCTGGGCATGAAGGGACGTGGGGCATCTCCAGGTTCGGCAGGTGGGCCGCCCAGGTGGAGCAGGGCAGGCAGACTCTGGGCCTGGCTCCATGGATCCAGGACTTCACCCATCTACTCTGAGTCCGAGAATGCTGCTGGCCAGGGCAGGCCCTCCCCAACCCCGGCAGGTGCTCCGGGATGGCCTGCAGTGGGTGTTAGAAGGGGTCTGGTCTTATGCCCCTAGCTGCCTCCCCCAAATGCCATCCTCTTTTCCCCTCTACTGCTCCCAACCTAGGGCAGCCCATCTCCTCCCTGCCCCCGGCCCTTGGCCCGAGGGCTCCCACACCTGCTCGCTGGCGGGAGGCAGTTTGTGGGGTTCCGCCGTCAGCACCACCAAGTCGTCGATGATGCCCTGCAGGTGGGTGATCTCTCCCAGCATGGTCAGCTCTCCGTTCTGAGGAAGCAGCGAGTCAGACCTGCGGCCCTGTCGCCCACCTGCCCACCTGCCCACCCGCCCTGGAGAAGCAGCAGGCCTTGTCAGGCCTCTCCTCTCTCACCCTTCCTCGCTAACCAGTGCTGCTCGGGGCTGGTGCAGGCAGGGCCCACACAGCCCAGATGGCTGGTATGATGGTCTGTCCAGACCAAATCAGTGCATGGTGAGCTATGAGACCTGCCTTTGGGCCAGGAGCATGTGGCCTTGATGCCCCCAGCCAGGGACTGTTGAGAAGTGACCCTTCTTGGAGGTCAGAAGGTTAACCCTGGGCCCAGCCCACCCCTCTGGGGTCTGAGTCCCCAGGAGCCCCACCACCACAGGCTGCAGGAAGGTGATGAAGGTGCAGAAGCGGCCCCGCTCCTCAATCAGCGCCCGGCGCACGGCCTGCTTCTCCGTCTCCTCCAGCAGCAGGTACATGTCGTTGACGTCCTGCAGGGCACTGTCCAGCTGGGGCTGCAGGTCTCCTTTCCCTGGAGGGGTGGGGAGGAGAGGCCTTGCTGGGGATGCCAGCCTGGCTTGCCACACCCACGAATGGGCTCAGACCCTGGTGGTGGCATCTCTCGGCCGTTGGGCTGGGTGCTGCCCTGGGGCCATGGGACTGGGGAGGGCAGTAAGGACTCTGGGGCTTGTGGAAGGGCTAGTCCCACCAAAGCAGGAAGAGAGGCCAGACACACACACAGGAAAGAGGCTAAAGCTGCAAAGCCACTCCGGATCGGGACATCTCCATGGAGGCTCTTGGTGCCCAGGAGCTCTGCCAACACGGAGCCTCACTGGCCTCCACCTGGGGTACCCTCACTGTCCCAGCATGGCGCCCCTCACCTCACAAGGTCCAGGGAGGTGGGGCAGAAGCGGGACAAGGGAGAGTGTGGGGCTCAGCTGCAGGTCAGGCCATGGAGGGACGGGGTCCAGGAGAGCTAGGGCTGGGCCTTAGAGGCAGGGAAGGGGTCTGTGTGGGTTCCCACTCAGCTCAGGGAGCAGAGCACACAGACAGCAACAGCGACACAAGAAGCAGCAAGAAAGAGAGAGGCGAGAGGATGATGCAGAGGAGATGATGAGATGGCAGGTGGGGAGGTGACAGGTAAGCACGCAGGCCAGCCTGGTGGGGGTGGGGCAGCCAGGGCCTGTGGCCTCCACCCCGCCCTGGCCAACCCCTCCTGGCCTGGCAGACTGACCCAGCAGTGGCCCTGGACTCATCCCTGGCCAGGGCCCCCAGGGGTCCCAGGGGGACTGTGCCCCAGGCCCCTCCCTTGTGGACCGACCGCCTTCCTCGCTTCTCCTTGGCCTGGAGAGGTTCCTTCCAATGGCCCTGAGCTGGGGGAGACAGACAAATGCAACAGGGACGGGAGGAGCAGCTGGAGGGACCGACATTTGACTTACCAAGTAGCTCTACAGGAAGGATGTGGGAGGAGAGGAGGAGAGACAGAGAAAGAAAGAATGTGTGAAAGACGCCGGATGGACAGAGCCACTCCTGGGGCGGGGGTGCCTGGGCCTCCTGCTGCCTCCCCTAGGGAGGTTCTGGACCAGGTTTGGGGGGCAGGGCGGCTCCCTCTGTCCCACCCAACAGGTTGGAGGGTCCTGTGTCGGGGACAGCGCCCCTCTGGCCAGGATGAAAGCTTTAGGGGGCCCCACGGGGCGGCGGGGCTGTGGAGCGGGGCCGTGGGGCTGTGGCTGGGGGGCCATGCCAGGCACTACCTTTGCGCGCCTTCTTTTGCAGCTTGAGCGTGTCCGACGACTTCTTTTTGATCTCATGCCGGGCTCGTTTGTACTCTGCAGAGGGAGAGAGGGGAGCGCTCTAATGGGGTTCCTGCGGAGTAGGGGGTGGGAAGCTGCGGAGTGGGGGGTGGGAAGCCCGGCCCCGCACCGCCTTCGACCTTTCGCGTGGTCCTTGTCCAGCTGGTTGGCCGCCTTCTTCCAGTCCTCGATGCGCTCCTGCAGCGGGTTGATGAGGCTCTCCAGCAGCGCGCTGCGGAGGGTGGGAGGGAGCGCAGGTCAGGGCTGGGCTCCCCCGCGACGCCCCGTCGCCCCGCCCCCCTGCGGCGCCCACTCACTTGGTGAACTGCCGCAGCTTGGTCTCGATGCTGCGGTGGCGCATGCACATGCGCGTGAGCGCAGAGCCGATGTCCCTTGTGGCCCCTGGCGAGGCAAGCGCGGCGTGGGAAGGGGCCCCGCCGGGGCCTGCGCAGTCCCGGCCTCGGGCCAGGAGGGGGCGCCCCGGCCGCGCAGGCTGAGCCCGCAGCCCGCGCCCCGCCCCCGCCGAGCCGCAGTCCTGCGGGCCCTGGGGGATTCGGGGCCTCCTCCATCTCCACCAGCTCTTCCTCCGCCATCCCCGCCGTGCCAGCCTCCTGCGGCGGCCTCCCCTCTCCCCCAGTTGGGAGAGGCCAGCGCCAAAGACTGTTCCAGGAGCCGGCCAAACGACCCTCCAGGTGTGCCCAGATGCAGGCACGGGAGTATGAGCACGCCCAGGACCCGAAGGAGCAGGAGCCCCAGGTCTCTGCCACTCGGACCAGAGGGCGGAGGAGGCGCCAAGCCCAACGGCGCGCTCACCTGACCCTGCGTGCTCTTACAAGGATGGCGGGCATAGGTGGGAAGAAGCCCTAAGGAGAATCTCTGTGCTGGGGGGGGTTGGGGTCACATGAACAGCCACAGCAAGAAGGGAATCCCCAGGGAACACTCCTGTCACTACTCACCCACTCCTGCTTGCATGCCTCTTGTGACGAGGGGCTCACTCTCCACAACCAGCCCATTCCATTAAGGAGCAGAACTCAAGGTTCTGGGCTTGGCGTACTTTCCCTGGCCCATCCCTTACTCTGCCTTTCCAGCCTCCAGGCCCATCCTGGGGTACCCCCAACCTCCAGCCACGCGCCTCCCCACCTCGGGTGTTGGTAGCCATGTCAGCCACTTTCTGGAAGGCATCCAAGAAGGCCACAGCAGCCAGCACGGTGGTCCTAGGGAGAGGGGCAACGACACAGATGGTCAGAAGGACAACAGCACGGATGGTCGGGGGTGGGGGGTCTCTGCCTGCCTCTCCCCTGCTGGGATGCCCTGGGACAACTCACCTCAGCTGGGAATGCAGCTTTGTGGCCTTGGAGTTGAAGTCCTCCCAGATGGGGTAGGAGCTCTGCCGGGCAGATGGGAGAGAAAGCGAGCTTCTTGTGGGGCGGCTGCAGGGCTGGACCTGGGCCGGGCTCCCCACATGCTCTGTCCAGACTCAGGGCAGTTTCTGAGACAGCAGCCCTGCCCCATGGAGAGGGAGGCTCTGGGTCCTCTCGGAGGGCAGAAGACCAAGGACAGAGCCATCAGCATGAGAAAAGCCTGTCCCTAGGAATGGGTGCCTTTGCTAAGCCCTCCCTCCCTGACGTCAGGACGTCCACCCTACAGGCTACAGGGGGCCCACATCTCCCTCAGGGGAAACGGAGCAGGAAGTGGCAGGTCCTGTCCCCTCGGGGTTTCCCAGGCACCTGGCAGGGGATCTGGGCTGAGCCCAATGAGAGGCATTGTGTCTCCCAAACATGTGCCTAGGACAGTGGCACTGACCTGCCCACCAGGGGCAGAGGCACAGTGTGGAGGATAGGAGGTGGCAGGGCTGAAGGCACGCCAGGTGTAGACTGGGGCCTCTGGGGCCCCCCCGCCGTGTCCTGCAAGCTGCCATCCCAGGCCAGCAGCCGTGGCTCCCAGGGCCGAGGAGACTGTGGCTGCTGCAGGGCCCAGCTAGCCTGCCCGGGACAACCAGGCCCTGGGCTGAATGGGGCCTTGTGCAGCCAACAGAGCCACCTTTCTCCACCCCCTGCTCCCCTCCCCTCCTGGGGAAACAGTGTGGCCTTTATCCCAGCCTGGCCCAAGGCTCCAACTTGGAAGGGGGTTTCCCAATAGGGAGGTCGGGCTCCTGGCGACCAGCTGTCCAATCTGATTATGGGGCTTTTCTGGTTAACACATGCCCCGGGGTCCTGGAGAAACCTCAGCCCTGGCCCAAGGGCCCTGTGGAGGTCTTGCTCCTTGACAGGCAGCCCTGGGCCAGCCAAGCCCCAGCCCACAGGGGCTTCTGACCCTCCCCTCCATGTAGGATGGGCACTGGAGGCTGGGGCTCTTCCTGAGGAAAAGGGAAAGAGGAGACCCTGGCCCTCAGGGCCTCAGAGGGAAGCTCTGCCCAGCTGCAACCCAGGAGCAGGCTAGGGCTTGCCCTGCCAGGCCAGGAGAGCTTGAAGGGGTGGGAAGGAGACAGGGCAGCTCAGGGGGCCTCAGAATCTCCCTCCCCTCCCAGCCCAACCAAACCAGTGTCCAGAGAAAGCAAATATTTGCAAAGTCCACAGAGGTCGAAGCAAGAGTGGGGAAGCTGTGGGTGGGCTATTCCCAAACGGGCACAGCTCAGGGTGAAGGGGCCTGGGAAGCTGTTCCCAGCCATCCCGAGGAGTGGACTCATGCCACCCATGCCTGGGGTACCCCTAGGGGGTCTTCTAAAAGGGGGCACTCTGCCACCGCCTGGACCCCCACCCCCACCCAGCCTTGAAACCTTGCTAAGACCTCCCTTTAGGGAGCAGAGAAGTTGCTAGAGGTGGAGGGGGGTCCAGAGCCAGCTATCCTGGCACCCAGGAACCTTCTTAGCCCCTGAGCAGCCCTCGGGCAGTCGCAGAGATTAAAGGCTGTCCCCATGGGGAGGGGACAAGATGGGGTGCAGGGGAGGCCAGGCCATATCCCCTTAGCAGATGGACCTAGATGCCTCAGTCTCTAAGGACCTGGACCTGCCCCCCTCCCCACGGCAACCACCTAAAGGACCCCAGAGACAAGGAACATACGTCTTATTTGTTTATATCCGCCTCTTCATGGACAGGTCAATTTCACTGATTAAAAATAAGAGACAGGGCTCCAGCAGCCAGTGCCCCAGGAACAGCATCCTCAGCCTTCACCTGGGACAGGCCCAGGCAAACCTTCCCAACAGCCCCATGAGATGAATACCATGACTGCCCCCATTTCACCAGTGAGGAAACAGAGGCCCGTAGAGGTTAACTTATTTGCCCACGGCCACCGGGTGGCAGGGTCAGGACCTGATCCCATGTCTGCCTAGTCACTGCGCACCAGGTGGAGGCACTCCCTTACAAAGCAGGGAGACAAGCACTGAGCGCCAAGGCTGTGGAGGCGGCGGCGACTGCTGGGGTGCAAGAGACACCCAGTTCTGCCCCAAGCACAGTGGCTGCTCTGGAGTGGGGAGGTGGAGGGCTTGTCACTAGAGGCGCCCAACGGATGGGGAGGAGGACGCTCTGTCTGTGTCCCGGCAGCGGCTGTGGTTCAGACGTGGAGGGTGGGTGAGCAATCCAGCCTCCAATCCCAGGGACTGGGCTTTCCAGGTGCCCCTGGGCAAGGGCCCCCTGTCTGAGCCTCTTTCTTCACCTGTAAAATCAGGAGAGGAAGGGCCCCTGCCCCACTGGGTCAGTGTGGAGATTGAAGCAGGCGCTGCCCAGCCAGCACTCCGTGCAGCGCCCAGCAGGCCGTAAGTGCTCAGTTCACACCAGCTGACACTATGCAAGCCCTGCCCTCTGCAGGGGCCCCTAGCAGAGGCCTGGCCAGGCCTACGTGTCCAGGTGACACTCTCCACTCTTGAGGGGTGGGCGAAGAGTATGACCCCATTTTCTGGCTGGGCCAGCACTGGGTGGAGGCCCCATTCACTTTGCTGAAGGTGCCATGCCCAGGCCTATGACCTTGGGCAAGTCCCTGCCCCTCTCTGGGTTTCAGTAGACAGCCTGACACCAGTGGGCATCTGACCTCGGCCTCCGCTCAGTTCAAGGTCAGGGTCTCCCAGAGGCCCAGGGGAGGGCTTCTGTGGGGTCTGTGGACTCACTGTGGGGTGGCCTCATGGGGCGAACTCAGACTCCTCAACCTGGCTGCTGACGGCTGCCCTTCTTCTACGGAGGCCCTGCTGCTCAGGCCACCCAGGGGAAAATCCAGAAGCTGCCCCCCAAATCCAGGTGATCAGCCTCCAGGTGGCCTCGTCCCCTTCTCTGCCCCTGGTCATGGCCCCTGAACATATGCCTGTGTCATAGGTAGGGGCATATCTGTCCTTGGCATCATCCCAAGTGAAGCCTCTCCTGTTTTGCCTCCACATGTCAGCAAATCATGCCCGATGTCTTATTTGAACCTCTTGCTATGATCTGGGCCCACTTCCTTCTGTCTCATCCCAAAGTTCCTTGCAAATTGGCTGGAGAGGGAGAGAGACAGTCCTGGTCCGCTTCTACGAGCAAAATCTGCTGCTCTCTGCAGTGGTTGCTATGAGGCTGCCAGTGGTGGTGGGTGGTGGGGTGCGGGAAGGCCCATCCTCGGCCAGCTCTGGGATCGGACAGGGAGGGTGGTCTGTGTTGCCAGTCCCAGAACAGGATCCTGGGGCCAGGGCTGTAATGTCCACAGGGCAGACGGGGACTGCTGGGGGCCAGTGGAGGGGCCTGGATGTACAGTTGCAAGAGATGGGGGTCCCAGGGGGAGCGCACCATAAGGGGCAGGGTATGGGGGGCATCTACAAGCCGCTAACTGGGTAGTCCCAGGCCAGGCTGGCTTCAGGCCTCTTCCAGGGGCAGAGATTTGGCAGCTGTCCCTGGGGCTGTTGTCCTGGCAGCACCAGGAGCCTAGACCTCCAACCTGCCAGCAACCCCCACCCCTTACGGGGCCTGTCCTAGCAGCACTGTGCTGGGTGGTGTCATCCCCATCCCTGGCCTGGTGGGGTTCTGTGTTGTGCACTTGGAGAGTGTGCGCTGGGGTGTGGGGGTGGGGGTCCTTGGGAGATCCTGTGGGGTGCATCGTTCTTTCCCGTTCTCCTCCCAGCCCCCAAATCCTGCCCCTTCATCCTAGGCTAAAGAAAGGGGGCAGGGCAGGAGGGCAGGAATGCTGGTTCCTGGTCCCCACCCTATCACTGGAGCTGGGCCCTCTCTGCCTAGTCAGCGTAGGGCAGCCCTGCCAAACCCTGGCCTTGTCTGGGGAGAGGAACCCACTAATTTTCCCAGGAGAAAAAATGGGGGCTGAGGTCAGGGGAAGGGTCCAACAGTCTCCTTAATGACCTTGAGCCATTCCCAGGCCTCAGTTTCCCCACCTGGTGGGGTGAGGAATGAATGGGTGGCCAGCTCCAGCCTGACCTTAGGCAATCCTGGGAGAGAGGGGGAGCTCGGAGCTCAGAGTCCAAGGTGGTAATGGAGTAGGAAAAGCGCTCCCTTGGGGCTGCTCCACCAACCCCAACCTTCATCCCGCCTCCTCCCAAGGTGATGATCAAGGCCTATCCTTGGGATGCAGGGACATTCAGCCCGGGGACCTTGGAGTCCTGGAGCTTCCTGGGGTTGTGGGGGTGGGGCGGGGCTGGGGGAGGCAGTCTCAGGGTCGGGCGCAGAGGCCCAGGTCGGCGGGGAAGGAGTTAACGGTTCTCCGCTTTATTATTTTTTCCTGCTTTGGCGGTGACAGCATTGTCTGGGCTCCGGGGCCTTTGGGGAACATGGTGGTGGAAGGGGGCGGAGGTCGGCAAGACCCCAGACTCGTTAAAGGGCCCTAGAGTCGGTCCTGGATCCAAATCCCATTCATGGTTTGGCGGTCTGGGGCGCAGGGAGCCTGCGTGTGCACAAGCTCGGGTCAGGACCCCACGGGGCCACCGCGGGCACCGCACGGACACCCCGACACATGAGCCCTCACACCCCCAGACGGGCACCCGGAGACACGGGCGCTCAGCAGACCCAGGCAGGACGCGCTCAGACAAGGACACACAGACACCGCGGCGCGCGGCCACACGGGGCTCGGCCACCCGCCGCCACGCGTCCCCGGGGGGACCCGCACCCGCCGCCGCGCGCCCGGCCCCGCCGCGCCCCGGTTACCTTCATGTCGTTGACAATGGCCTGGAAGAGCCCGCCCAGGGCGCCGCACTCCTTCTCGGCCGTCTCCATGCTCGGGCCGGGCCGGGCCGCGGCGGCGGCGGGGCGCACGGAGCGCAGGGAGCCGCGCAGGGGAGGGGGCCGGGCCGCGCGCTTGTCTGGGGAGAGGAACCCACTAATTTTCCCAGGAGAAAAAATGGGACTCCCTTACAAAGCAGGGAGACAAGCACTGAGCGCCAAGGCTGTGGAGGCGGCGGCGACTGCTGGGGTGC